AAAAAGGCTGACAGCGTGACATCACACCGTCACTTAACATTCATGGACTCACCCATCTTGACTCGTGACGGGGAAGGTTGTTGTTGGTTTAGCGTCCAGAAACCGGGGGTGGGGGGTGGTAATCTTTACAGTAATTGTACAAAAAATATGTATAAAACTACAACCTGGAGGCTGTTTTATGCAATGTCAGGAATGCAGAACTATCAAGTACACAGGTGGCAGGAACGGCCACTCACACGTTAGCAAGTATCAGCAGATAAGCCTGTGGACGGTTCTAGTGGGAAACGGGCTTCAACGCTTGGTCCTAGTGCTCAACTAGTGTCTATTTAATATTGTTAATATTGTTTTTGGATGGTAAAGGTGCAGGGGACAAAAATTGACTTTGGAAAAAAACTACGTCCATGGGTGTAAAACAAACTGCATGTCAAAAGACCTTTCAGCAGTTAAACATGGTGGTGGTTGTGTGATGGTCTGGGCTGCTTTAGATGACTTGCTGCAATTGATGAAACCATGGATTCTGCTCCTTACCAAACAATCCTGAAGGAGAATTTCTGACCTCTGACCTTGAACAGATTGCTGGTGGAAAAGCTCCAATATTGAAATGACTTTGCTGCCATCATTTCCAGCTATCAGTTTCTGCCAAGGGTGTTGACACCTGATATTAGGTTAACAAAGGCCCAGGGTGGTTGTTACATGGTGAAGTGTAGTGAGGACAAAAGAGACATGCTGACTTGGTTGATGAACAAGGAAAACCAGTTTAATTTCCTCTGGTCAAAAAAAAAAAAAAAAAAAAAAATCAGAAAATCCAGCAGTCTTCAAAATGGCCACCCATCAATCTCCCTTCCAGTCTCAGTCACTTTCAGAGAGATTTCATGCCACACCCAGCAGTCCACCTATATACCCTCTGACCCCCCCTCCAATTCAGGTCGCCCAATCACCTCAGCCTTTCACCGAAGAAAAGAAAATGTTAACATTCATACAACCTTCAGCTATTTTCAATAATTAGATAGTCTACATGTAACTCACGTCAAATTTACAAATAATTCATTCTATGCTTTTCTTTAAAAGTTCTCCACTCAGGCATTTTACTATAAAAAGGCAGCATTAGAGGCGGGCTTCCTCTTTAGCTGGTTCAAGATGGCTGCCACAGAGGACACCTCCTGAGGGAAACAAACAAATTCATGTTTAACACAGATTACATTACGGTCCTGCATGAATACTCTCTAGTTAAAGAACACATATTGCTTCTCAACAGTGGTTTGGACAGCTTACATTTTTATAAATAAAATCATCATGTTGTATTTACTCATCTATGCCTGAAATAGAAATTTTTTGACTGATCAAAAAAATTTGTTTGACGAGAATTAAAATTAGAAGAAATGTAAGGTGGCAAATAGGTTTTCACAGCACTGTATACAAGTACCTCAGGCTTAGTGCATAATCAGAGTTATTGCTTTTAATTGTGTAAAAACATTGAATAGCTGTTTTAGTTCAATGAAACTCAAAAATTAACAGATTCTTGAGAATTTACTTTTTTTTTTGTCAAAGTTTTTATAATAACAAGGTCAAATGAATCCGCCTCCAGTGAATGGTGCATCTGAGAGAAACCTGTGCTGTTTCGACTCATTTAGCAGAAATTCAAATAATTTTTTGAGATGTTGTGATTCCAAACAGACAAATTCTTTATTTTGGAAGCTGGAAAGTAAGTACAATTTATGATGTTTACAATGTTTACATTTCCTCTTGTATTGTCTCGTGTTCTCAGTGAGTTTTCTCTGATGGAAACGCAAAATAAAAGGCAAACAGTGGTTACCCCAATAGCAGCCTCACTGCTCTTTGCTAAAAATGCCTCGGCATAACTGAAACTGCACTAAAGAGCCTGCAAGCTCACTCAGATTAATTGGATTTATTGTAAAACTGCTTCCCTTGAAAAGTGCTTCAGACACACACACACACAAACACACACACACACACACACACACACACACACACACACACACACACACACACACACACACACACACAATTAACTCCCTGTGATTAAAAAAAATAGTGGTAGCGACAGTAGCCTCAAATAGAAGTTCTATCGTTCACTCCTCTGTGGTTTATTAAGTCTCCTGTACTCACACAAGCTCTTTCAGTGGTAAATTAGCTCGAGAAAATGAGCTTTTTCTTGTCAGGAGAAGCAATAAGTCACTTGTGCATGAACCAAAATGAGCTTTGCTGCAGTTATGTGTCAGATGACATAAACATTCCTCCCTGATATTCACCTTTCCTGTCAGTTTCCACCCTTTTTATGGGAGAGTTTGATATTTCAGTAAGTAAATATCCTTAGACAGAGCTGAATATGGACATCATTGTGTTCTATTGATATAAAAGAAGGCACTATTATTATAGTGTAAACACTTTCTATGTCTGATCAGCGGCCAGCAAGCCACTAAAGCCAGCTTACCACCTCTGTTGATCTCAGTTCTATTTACAGGCTGCTTTATTCTCCAGCAGCTCTCAGGGTGTAAATACTTTAAAGTCCAATATCCAAAGCACAGCACACTGCTGTTTGAACAGTTATTGTGTTTGTGTTGATATAACTGGACCCAATTGATTAGTCAGACTAATCCAGAATAATTCAGACAGGAGACAACTTTAAAATAAACGTGCCATTGTCACATTTTGCTGTGTTTGTTTGTTTGTTTGTAATAAATAAAGAAACGAGTAAAGTGACAGATTGCAGTCTGTTAGATGCCAGCATTTCTGATTTTCTGAAAATAATGCAGTCAAATATTTTCATTATCTGGACTTTTGGATCCACAAAACAAGCAGTTTGAAGGCATTTAACTAACCAAACAAACTCATAATGGAGAAAAATATGTGAAAACATTTTCTAATGAAAAATTTAAAAGCCAAGTTCACTGAGAAACGATTTTTTAACTTGTTTGTTTTGAATCATGATCGGCCATGTGAGTTTCACATGCAGGCTAAATGTGAAAATGATCTCTACCCTTATTTCCTGGGTTTGCCTTTGATGGAAAATAGACAACGAGTTGCTAAGATTAGAAACATTAGCACATCATAATGTCAAACTATCATTCATAGACTCACCCGTCTTGGCTTGAGACAGAGAAGGCTGTTGTTGATTTTATATCCAGGAGAGAGCAGAGTGCATCATGGTTAGTAGAAGCTAACTGTTAGCATTAGCAACTCCATAACATGGCAGAACTCATTCAGGGTTGCGTTCGTTATGGAAATAAAACCTAAACGTTGAAAAGCAAACAGAGTCAGTGGTAGAGTTGCTGTTAGCCAATCAGAGGAAAGATGACTGAATATCAGAAAAAATACTCTAAATCCTGCTGTCTGCGAGCCTGGCAAGCCAGACTATATATTAGCATAATATAAATATATTATTTTGTCTGGCAACGCTCCATTGACAGCTCTCGGTTGTGGGGCGGGTTCTACCGTTGTCTCGATTGCCGCATGCTACTGGAAAATGAACAATGTGACATACTCGCCACAATGGATGCCGGTAAAGGAGGCGGTCTGCTGTTGAAGAAGGTGAAAATACATCCTTTTTTTTCTAAAAAAAAATACTTAAATACATCTATCTGCTCCTGATTCTAATAAAGCCCAAGTCCAAATAGTCCAAGATTGATGTCAAAGCCGTTTCAAGCTGTCGCCATCTTGTTCCACTCTGTTGCACCATCCCGCCCACCAGACAAATAGAGGGCCCTGATTGGCCCACAAAGCCGATAAAGCGCTGTGATTGGTCCATAAAGCAGATATAGTGCTGTGATTGGCCCACCATTGTGGACCAATCACAGCACTCTATAGGATTGAAGCCCCTAGAGTTGTGATTAGTCAGCCAGAATGCTGCTGGGACTGCAGAGGTTCCAATGAAGCGTTCCTAGACCAAACTTTGCAAAGCAAGAATTTGGTCTAGTTCACTAGGCTAGACGTCTGCTGCTCTCTCCTACTCTCGCTAACCTCTAGCTCCTGAAACAGGAACGCCAGCGCCTTATTTCCACAGTGATCGACTCACAAGGCATTCATTTATACTAGAGACCACTGCAGATGTGTTCAAATCAAGTGAACTTGCTCTTTAAATAGCTTTTTTGTTTATTTAATTATTTGGGTGGGGTGGGGTTATTGTGTCACATGATGTTGCCATAGTATCATTTTTCATTCTGTGATTAGTGAACGGTGTGAAGATCAACCCTGTTGCTGCTTCTATGTAACACTCTACAAGTCAGGACCTGTGAGCATTAATGGGACTCTGCAAGGACACAGCAATGATGATTAGATGTGTGCGTGCGTGTGCGTGTGTGCGTGTGTGTGTGTGTGTGCGTGTGTGCGTGTGTGTGTGTGTGTGTGTGTGTGTGTGTGTGTGTGTGTGTGTGTGTGTGGTCATCTCTCCTTCATCCTGTGGGTTTAACCTTGAACACACACAGTCAGAGTGATGTAGCTTCAGGTGGTAGAGGATATCCTGAATTACAACAGGTGATGCTTCTGTGTACCTGTTCTTTATGACCAGCAGGGGGTGAGACACACACACACACACACACACGCACGCACGCGCACACACACACACACACTTTCTGTGACGTGATCCCTCCAAGTCCTTTGAAGGGATTCTTGGAATGGCTACTTTGGTTGAGCCAGTCCACATAACAGCCCCATGTTAACAGGTTTAAAAGCTGGTAAAAATGAACTGCTTTGTTTTCCCTTTATGACATTTGTAAAGAAGCCAATTATATAGGAACCATGTGTGGAATTAGTTAGGACTTAAAGTTCTGGATAATTAAGGGTGTGAGCTCTGTGGCACCGACACAGAAAGTCACCTCAGGCTAGCGTGATGGCTCGTAAACGACAACATGACATGTCCTGTATTAATGACTCGGTATGATTACCTGAATCCAGATTATTTTTTATTTCAGTTAGTTTAACTTCCGTTTGTACCTAAAGTCAGGATGACCTCCTAAACATGTCATGTCCTCCTCTGTCCTCAGCTGAGCCTCTGCCTCTGATGGACCTGTGTCGACGTGCAGCCCGCCTGGCGCTGGGGCGGGACCGGCTTCAGGATATCGAGAGTCTTCCTCTGCCCCAGTCCCTCAAAAATTACCTCCAATACCAGTAACTGGCACCACCGGAGCAGACGGGGGCACAGATCAGGCCACCAGCTGGACGGGGACAGAGGGGATGACTGAAGAATGTCCACACTGGAGCACCACAGCTTCTGCTATATTTCAAGCTGCTTTTTCATTTTAGAAATAAATTTTTGATGACCATGTCACATCAGTGTCTCATCCAGACCAAGCCCACCTGTCTGATGGCACAGTGGGGTTAACAGTGAGCACATCAGCGGTTAGCAACCACCGCCACCTAGTGGTGAGAGTAACTATAGCAGCACAGAGCAAGCACACCAATCACATCCAAGGAGGCCTTTTCTGACACACAGTCAGCGATCATATCATTCCTGCTGCTGCCTGCTCATCATCTACACTGACACAGGTGGGCAGACTGAAGAGTCTAAAGGTCATGCTCAGAGTTTGTTTTAATCAAACGGACCTCAAGGCCCAACAATGCTGAGGAGATGGAGACGGGTTGGTTCAGGGTTACTAAACCTTTCAGGAAAGTCAAGTCCCGTTTTTCCGTTTAGTCTGCTTCTGAATGAGTAGATATGAATCCTTTAGGTCAAGGTCTCTTTTAACAAAGCTAAAACGTTTTAATTGTTTTAGTGCTGCCTGGGTTTAATATGTGCAGTCAGCCTTACTTAAAATGCATTCAACAAGGTTTGAAGGATTATTGTTTTTATTTTAAACAAACTAAAAAATACATTATTGCATTTTGAACTGGTTTTAAAAGTCAAACCGCTTTAATTCACTTTATATTTGAAGGACAAAAATTACTGGCTTAAGAGCAAGAAAAAAAACCAACAACATGATAATCAGCTCCATCAGAACAATGTGGGTGTAGCTTGGTTAAATGTTTCCGACAATAATAAGCAACAGCCCACAAACTGTTGGCAGCTTTAGCAGTAGTCAGGATCATATGGCTAAAAACGCATCAGTAGATTTGTCTGTAATAGATCCGAAACGTGGATCTTTACATGGATCTGATGAAGCAGAAAAAACAAAACATGTTTAAAGTGAATTTTTGTTCAAATTGTCATTAAATCTTCATAATTAGAAACGTGAGAGGGGCTTTAAACCAGGACCAGAGGGAATCAGCCTGCTCATGGGAATCATTCCTCACACAGAACACTAACTCATCTCTGAGGATGTCGAATCACAACCAAAGCCTTTCCTTCCACACTGCATAGTGTGTGTGTGTGTGTGTGTGTGAGTGAGTGAGTGCTAAAGGCCATTACTCCTCTATGTAAGCAGTGTTCGTATGCTAATATTTGTAGCAGCCTGCTGTAGCTGATGGTAGCAAATGGTGCAGGTGTGTGTTTCTGCTTTACACACACAACTGTCTTAATTTTGATTTAAGTATCAGGACCACATAGAAGATCCGACCTTACCGGGTCTACGAGGACGACTGTAGCACGCCAGGTGTGTTGTCGGATCAGGATAGGACACAAATGACCAACACCCAACCACACGTGTGTGTGTGTGTGTGTGTGTGTGTGTGTGTGTGTGTGTGTGCGCTCTTTGGCAGTTAACCTGCAGACCAATCATCCTTTACTTTAAAAGGCTTAAGTCACTTTTTTAAAACTTTTGTTTGTAATTCTGTTCATGATCATTATTACTGTTATTATTATTATTGTGAGTGTGTGGTCCGAATTTGACGGCAGGATGATGACAGTGTGTATTTATCACAAGATTGTTGTGTGTTTGTTTTATTACACTGATGGTTACATTCAGGTCAATTTAATAAAAAGATGCTGGTGATGAAGGCAGAAAGAAATAATCTTGTTTCTTTAATGCTGCTTCATTGATTATCATTATTATTATTACTGATGGTGATGGTCATACCTACTGTTTTTATCAGTTAGGATGAGGACAAAGGGACCACTTTACATCGATGGTGCAGCTGAAATGTCAACAGATACGAAACATGAATAAAAGCCAAGTGAGATGAAATTGGTTTTTGTATTTCTTTGTTTACATCTACGTTCCTTTTGAAAACTGAAGAAGAAACACAACTGAAGTTTTATCGGAGCGCTGTCTGGATGTGCACTACATCAGAGAAGATCAAAGTCCTATTGAGCTGCAGGAAGATTGATAGCTGCTTGTTGATTTTTGTCTCAGGAAGCTTTAATCTGCTCAGTAAATGAAGAAACCTTGGCTGTAAATGTGCCTGAATGTGTTTATGTCCTGGTAATTTAGTAGTTCTGCACTCAGCCTGAACAACACTGATATGGTAATGGATGCAGTCCGGTTTCCAAGCAGCTTCCACAAAAATCATTTAGTCCAATCAGAGCATTCACATGGGCTAGGGTGCAGCGCAGACCTGGATGCGGAGCTCTGGAAACTTTCAGCATAGAGTATTTGTTCTGGATGGCGCAAGCATCAGCTTAGAAACACTTCCACTGCTGTCCTTGATTGTTCTGATGCAAATGTTGCAAGCAGTAATATTCCCATACCGTGTGACCCTAACCCTCCTGCCCCTTATCTTGCTCTCTCTCTGACATATTTCCTTTGCTCTCCATCAGCCTTACACACCTAGTTAGTTTCTCTCACCTTACTTTGGTGGGAAACAACTGTACAGGTGCTTGTCCTAAAATTATCATGACACAGTTGATTTATCTCAGTAATTCTATTCAAAAGGTAAACCTTGCATATTAGATTCACTCAATAAACAAATACTGATATATTTCAAATGTTTATTTCTTTAGTTTTGATGATTATAACTGACAACTGATGAAAATCTCATCTCCACTGTTACGCAGCTGGCCGGCCAGAGGTTGAGCCTGGGGGCCCTGGTGTGCCAAACCGGTAGCACCAACACACCCTATGCCAGTGGGATCTCTTCGTGCTGCATTTAATGTAATCGGACATGCATTGTTCATGTTCGTAATGTTTTAGCTGCAGCTGAGGTACCAAGGCTTTCTTTTAGGGTGGCATTTGCCACTCTATGCCACCCCTGTAGATCTGTCCCCACCTCCTGATGCTTTTGTTGTGAGTAAAGATTCAAGTGAAGAACAAAAATGTATCAATAAACAACAGGAACATTTTGTAAACTCTGAACTTTTATTCAGTCTGTGACTCACGTTGATCAGATAAACCTGAAGTGTGTTGCAGTTTGCCAAAAACACCCTGAAATTAATCCTTTTAAACAACCAGAATCCTGTCAGAGATCAGATTCATGTTGCTGAAATATAACTATAATAATTCTGGCTTAAACACATGTCTTCAAAAAATCTAACCCCCACTTGGAGTGAACAGCTGAGAGTAAAGGGTGCTTCTGAACTGAATATGTGTTCAGGAAATGACTCCAAAGTAACAGATTATGCAGAGAAATCACTACATGTACAACCAAGAAATCCCAACATTATCAGCTTAAAAGCTAAACAAAGTCAATAGCTATTAACTACATTATCCCCTCTCTGAGGTCCGCTTCAGCCTTATTGAGCATGTGGTGCTTATCAGTTAAAGGCACATTGGACCACTAATTATCCGATTGTATTTCTCACTCCTCAGGGGTCCAGCGAGAGCAGAAATGAGTATTCAGCAGAACCCAAAGCAGAGCAGCTCTTCCTCTGCTCAGATGGAGGCGAGTCAGGTCAAACCTGGGTGGGACCGACTGAGAAGGCTTCTGGGGTTTACCCTGGAGTTAAAGTGACGGTGTATTTTCCTGGCGATAAGGGGCAGTAGAAACCTAAATCATTGAAAGTAAGCAGTGTTTTTGTGTTGGAGTGAGACCTTATCAAGGGATGCCCATTAGGGTCAAAAAGCCCTGGGGAGTGCAAACTTCAGCAAAACGACAAGCACATCAGACTCCCTTTCATCACTGGCAACAAGTGAAGAGGTAAATGTGTAAAACAATATTTAAGAATAGCAAAAGTTTTGCAACCGTTTGTTACAGATCAGTAAATGCATTTTGTCCTCATGGGCTCCCGTAGAAGGAAACATGACATTTAATATGGCCCCACCCAGAGACTTAGGTTGTTTACATATCTGGGTGGCTTGGTATTTTTCCGGGCCAACCAAGGCTCATTCTCAGCCCTCTTCTCGAGGGGGTCTGCTCCAGGCCGACCAGGGCCAACACACCCACTGCTGACGGCAAATTCACACCTTCCATTAGAGCAAGCCTCTGATTGGTGGGTAGAATCAGCCCACATGGATTTAAGACAAGGATGTGTGGAATCAACCTGGCCAGGCTGGGGCCGACCGGGGCTACCCGGCCCGGGCCGACCCGGTACAGATGGGAATGGCCCATTAGACCCTCTCTCATCTATTGTAGACCTGGTTTTTATGGCTATGTGTTACAAAGCCGCCAATATTTTTTAACAACTGGGCATCATTTAATTCATTTTCAACAACATTTTGACGGATATTTCCAGAAATTAATGGTAAAAACTACACATTGTCACTTTAATGTGTTCACTGCATAGAAAAGAAAAGGGATGGAATTGTCATAATGTCTTTACCTTGATGGTGGTTAGATTTAGAGCAGTTTATTTAACCTTTAACCTTTTGTAAAGTTTTCCTTTATGTGCAGCTGTGTAACCTGCTGATCTCAGAAGTAGTGAGAGGTGACTGAGAGGAAAAGATAGACCTCTGAGAACCCACACGACCTAAAAGGTCAGTGCAGAGATCGGTGCTAGACAAAACCTTTTTTTTATGATGGCTCATAGATGTCACCAGCTCCCACCAGTTTTCTTTTTTCAACACTGATACATACTTGCATGTCTTTATTAGTACTGGCTGCATAATTATGTCCCCAAAATCACTATTTACCCAACATGATGCACCTTGCAATCAAAATCTTTAATTTGCTTATTTAATTTGTACCACTTTGCAGGAATAGTTTAAACTTCAACTTAAAATTTTACGTGCCGACCAAAGATTCTGCTGTATTAAAATTAGAAACGTTCGATTTTTCTTTTGTCTGGGTTTGCCATACAATATCTTCTCAGCAGAATTAAATTTCCCACCAGCAGGGGGTGGCGTAGCGTACCCAAAGGTCAAGTATTCACATCAAAAATGACCAGAAATTAACTTTTTAGTTTGCAGACACAAACACCTCATCTGTCTGGCCTCCAAACAAGAAAGCACTGCACAAGACCTTGTCACCAGATAACGGAGACATAATAATTCCAAGCTACCTCATGGTGGCTGGAACAAAAGTCATGCAGAAGATGAGACTTGCACTCATTCTGAACAAAGTTCATCATCCTTGAATCATAAATGACTTTTTAAAACGTGATAATTGCTTAAGTGTCATATTATAGTCATCTCTTGCTGAATCCCAAAGTGTTTGAATATTGTGTGCATTAATCAGTGATGTGTTAAAATCAATATTTTTCCTGCAATGATTCATTTCAGATCTTAAACTACACCTGATCAGTATTTGCTGATTTAATAAGTTAATCCATCAGTATACTGATACATCATCAGATTAACATTAAGGTTTTAATCTTCACTTCACATTAAGAGTTAACATCTCTGAGCATCTGAGTGAAGGCGTGATTTCTGAGGTATTTTGGTAAAAGCCCTTTAAATGTGTGAGATTCTGATTTGTCTAAGTTTATAAAAAAAGGTTATTAAAAGCGAGAACACTTCCTGATCTAGTCAGTCTTCGCCGTTCACTTGATAAGGCCAATCTGGTGAACAAGCATTTTGAGACCATCCTATTTTTTGACCTCAAGGTCAAAGCCTCTCTGCAACACTTGCAAGTGATTTCAGACACAACGGCTCTTTTAAGAGAACAGCCTTAGACGCAACACGGACACTCCAGCTTCCTGCCGTCACCTGAAGATAACCCAAACTAGAAGGGTCGTAATCAGAGCTGCCTACGGGCTTGGGTACAAGAGGCCCACGCCATCGGCAGCGTCCATCTCGACCTCCTGACCCCCTGGAGTGCTTGGGGACCTTCACACAAGGGTAACTATATCCTTGACTCTGTCTGAATTAATATGAAGTGTGCATGTTCACTGAATAAGTCAAAGTAACTAAAGTCTTCTGATTAAACTTTCAAAGACCAATCAGATTGATATTTCATATTTATCTGGAATGTCACATGTTATTGATCCTTTAATACATATGTAGCCAATCCTTAAAGCGACAGTGGTAAAGCTTCACATTTTTAAAATTTAACTATTTCTTGTGCATCTAGAAAATTGACTAACAACATGAGAAGTTTACAAAATAGGAATAAGAAACCAGTAAAACTGTGCTGCACAGTTATTTCTCCTTTCACTCTACCTCTTTTAGTAAATTAATTTACTTCCTTTAGGTATGTTTTGTAAGAATCTTACAGTGAAACAATTCCAAATGGTCTAATGTCTGAATCATGTTAGCAGGATTGAAACACTTCTTCCTCATTCAGGTGGGGATTGTCATGTCTTTATTTTAAAAAGAACAAAGAGGTCCATGTTTACGTTTTGCGAGCCTGCAGGGTTGCCATGTTTGTTCCTGGTAATGCTGCTGCTGCGCTGACATTTATAATTCAACACCAGCCGGCAAAACACAGCAAGTTTTGGAACAATTCTAAGTAGGGCTGCCTGCACAATATATCGCAAATATATCGTTATTGCGATATCAGCATGAGCAATATGCATATGGCAAAGAACAGGTAAATATCGCAATGAATGGTCAGCTCAGATGTTTGCTAAACATAATGCATTCTGTCAATCAAACGAAAGCATGATGTTTTTTTAACGAATCATTTAGCCAATTGGGTGGGTTCTCATAGGTTAGATGCCCGCCCTCGAGGCGGACGACACCTAATTTTGATGGTTAACAAACACCTGAGTTAGCTTTGTTCTCTTTCTGCTGATTCTGCTTTTCCCGGGGTCCACTGATGACCTTTTCTTGTTCTTTTGCTTTTCTCATTTTTATGATAATTTTGGTCATTTTTTTATTTGTTTGTTTTTGATTATTTTTGTTCCTGAGTTAAGTTTTCATTTATCGCAAGTAATATCGTCATCGCAATATTAATCACTGTTATCGCATATCGCAAGTTTTCCTAATATCGTGCAGCCCTAATTCTAAGCCAGGAACAGAAGCGCCCCAGAAGTTATTTCTACCCCTAAGAAGCCACGGCATCCTTTTGTTTTACCCTAATATCTGGTAAAGAAAGCTAGGAGCTAATGTTTAGCTAACAATGCTTACGGTAAATTAAAAACGCAAATCTCAAGCCACTTTTTCAATTACCAACAACTATTATTATTATTATTATTATTATTATTATCATTACAGAGATATCAGTTCATCTACTTATCAGCCTACTGTCTATGATTCATCTAGAATCTTCTGCTGCTGGTCAAATAAACTCATCACTGTTTGTTTTGAAACATTGACTGCAGTACCCAAATTTGCCCACATAATGTCATTCTTACTTCATTATTACATCGTGCATCTTACAGCCTCTGTAATTTATTTGAAGATTTTATCAAAGCTGAAAATGCAAAGTTGCTGTATGTTTTCTCAGAGAAGATTGTGGACTTCTTTAGCTTTGTTGCAAAGAAGACAGAGAGAGCAGTTCCTGTTTTCTGCTCTGACTTTAATAACTATCAACAGTAGTTGTTGGCTCACATCTTTATTTTTATATGACTTTTAATTAATAATGAACTGTAGTGTACATGTTGCTGAAGGAAATGAAACTATTTTGTAATGTTATGTGAACGTTCCTGTGCTATGAGGACACACGGGGGTATATAAGGTCTGTCTGGCCCAGAAACACTTGAACAGATGCAGGGAGTCATGTGGATGATGACTCGCATCTGTCAGCATATCATGCAATCACATGAAAACGACAAGGAAGTCGGCGCTGACGTGTGATGACCTCACGGGACCTGCAAACCGTTACAACAGCAGATTTTCAGATCCGCACAAAAATCAGGACAAGTTGGTAGAGTCTAAAACAATTCTTTATTGGTCAATTTACAGAAAACAGCGGGATGACCACTAGATAGAAAGAAATCCCAACCATTTTGTTTACAAAAAAAGAAACATATATAAAATAACTGTCTTAAATATTTTTACAGGGTTTTATGTAAAAGAATCTTTTTAAAGTCATTAATGTATCAGGAGCATCGTGTGGCAGGAGGAAACAGTTGTTTCACAATGTTGACTCTATCATACATCACAGATGATTAAAAGACACGTGAACACCAAACGTTTCTGTTAGAGCTCAAAGATGGAGAACAGCAGAGAGGAGACGAAGCGAAACCTGGATGTGACCTGGGTTTGTGAGGGTGTCAGAAGAACGGGACCTTTCAGCGTGTGATGGTTTTACTCTCCCGCAGGGAAGCTGGCTGGAATCTAACAGAATCAGACTTTCCACAGATCAGACAGAAACCTCTGATTACAGCGGCTCACATGCATAATGTGATCTGTGTTAAGGTCAAATGTCAAGTGTGAATGAGAGCCATCAGAGCGAGAGTAAACGTCACCAGAGGTGAGAAGACATCATCATATTTGATCAGTCAACAAAGCAAACGGCTCTGATACTGGAGTCCTCCTCACCCGACGGCACTCATGAGTTTGTTTTGTTCTTCGGCTCGGATCATCTGATACGAGACATGGAAGCTGCTCCCTTTGTTGACATAAAACCTGCCTGAGCCCACGAGAGATGTGAGGGCAAACTGTAAGCGTGGCTGACGGGAGACGAGATGAATCTAAACGTTTAAAACAAACGAGGTTTTAAAGACGAGCAGAGACAAATGGGTGTGACTGTCCTGCAGATCAAACATCTTTATGAGGCTTCGACAACATCGTTTCTTTAACCTTCATTAGTTTTCTGCACAAAGGCCCAAAGCTGCACTCCTGTTCCTTTAACTCTCATGAAGTCTGGAATTCTCTCTTTTAAATAATTATAATAAAAGCTCTGTTTAATTTCATCTTCTGATTAAAGATAAATGAAATGTTCTGGAACAACAAAGTTATTTAAATCAGAAACGCCTTGTTCAAGTCATGATGTAGAAAATTTGGATAGAAAAAAATAACTTAATCTTGTTTAAACATTTAATAAAAAATAAATGTTTGGAAAAAAGCTTTTTAAAAGATTTTAATGTGATTTTTGAAAGACTTTCGAGAACCTAGAGAAGACAATCTGTAACATTTAGTTCTTGTACGTAAACAGGTGAGTAACTTAAGGAGTATTTTCAGTTAAACTTTAGATGTTCTCTCTTTCGTGTCCTGGCCACAGAACCACAGCATTGCTAACGAACAACATTCGTGACTAAAAGGTGTGAGACGGTGGTTAAATATGGGACACACACACACTCAGTGTTCTACTTAATATTCAGACTAATTAAAGTTATTTCTAAAAGGTTTATTGATACATTAACTATTACATACATGTATGGACACATTTAGCTGCTAGTGACTCAGCATCTAACAGACCGTCCTTTTGGGAAATAAGTAATCTGATGAGAGGAGCCTTGTGGTTGGGTTAGGTACCAGTAAGACCAGCAAACCCAGTCGACACACACAGCAATGGGATGACTGTTTGTTAGATAGACCTATAAACACCACTGAGTGTTATGTGAGTACTGATGATGTAAACATGACGCTTTCCAACACTGTGGCGCCGCAGCCGACTCTGATGCAGCCTTTGTCCACCAGAGGGCGCTGCTTCTCTAAAAATGGCATCTTCCAGCTGAAGACTGTAACTCATCAGATTTATTTTTTGTGTCTGTACGTGCTTGTATGAATGCCTGTATGGTGTGTGTGGTTGATGGAGAATGAGCGTGTGTGTGATCAGTATGTTACACGTGAACTGTCCCACTCAGATTTTTCCCTCTTCCCAACAACCTCTTCACTCCCTTCTTCTTTCTCCTCTTCCTCTTCATCACTCTTATCTGATTCAGCAATCGTCACGCTTCCCACCAGCTCTTCATCCTCGTCTTCATCCTCCTCCTCACATTCTTCTCCTCTTACCGCCTCTGCCAGTGCCTGGGGGCCTCTTATGTCCTAAAGAACAAAGACGGATCCTAAATCCACTTTAGAAAAACACAGGGGTGGTTTTTCTAGTCATCACCTCATCAGCACACAGAGGCGCGGTTACCTCCATGGGGTTGATAGTGATGTTGAGTGCAGAGCTCCCCCAGTCCGTCTCAAGATCTTTGACTTCATCCTCGTCGTCTCTGGAGGCTTCTTGATGTGTGGCGTGGATCCTGTAGATGCCGATCACCACAATCACCACCAGAGCTGCGATGCAAATCACAATAACCACCGTGGCCGCAGGAGGTGCGGCTTCTGAATCGGGAAAGGAGAGAAGGATTCACTCACGGCGATGGTTTTATTATTATTGGCTGTAACTCAAACATAGCTCCAGTTCTTTTTTATACTAATATTCAGAAAGGAAATAACTAAAAAGCCAGTTATTGTAAAGCAACTTGAGGTTCAGTGATTATAGGAACAAGGGACTGAGCTCCTCACGAAGCACAAAAATATAACAGCGGTTTAGTTTTTATTTATTTAAAATGCCATTTGCGGTATTTTAGGTGGCATTTTGTGACGTAGTCTAACCCAACGAAAATAAATAAGTCCTAACTGCAATTAACTTTGATGAATGAGCCATTAATAATCGTGTTCACAGCAATTTACAGGCTATGAACAGAACAACAGAGGTCAGACATGAAGTATCACCTGACGTGTGTGAGTTCAGGGCGTGGATCATGAGCGGGTGATGGACAGGTCTCATGTACTGCGGCGGCGCCGCCACATGATTGATATGTTCCATTGGAGCGGCGCGGTGAAGAACGCTGACCTAAAGGAAAAGAGGATACAGAAGGGGTGAAGGGAAGATGACTTAGAATTAATGGTGCGCAGAACATAAAAAGCAGAATGTTTTAATGGAATCTCGGTTTGCCTCCAGGTTGAACTCGTTACTGGTGTATCGTCCGTTGAGCTCGGAGCAGGTGAGTCTAAACCGTCTCTCGCTCAGAGCAGCAGGTCTCCAGTTCCTGTAGCGCAGCTGCCTCAGGGCCTGCTCATAGTGGGCCATGGAGTCCACACCTGGTAGAAAAAACACCACAGCTCTGAAGCAGACAAAAACAAACCTGCACAGCATGGCAGCTTTCAAGTTTTAGAGCTTTTCTGACTGAGGGGAGTGGGAGCTTTCCCTCATCAGGATTCTAAGGAGGCACCATCAGGGGCATTAAGGAGCGCTGCTGTCAGAGTCTGTCCTACTAACCGTATATTGATACTCCTGAGGTGGAGTTGGTGGCATCGAGATGTTTTCCCAACAGGGCACTGTGATGAATCTCCAGACTTTCCCTCTCCAGATTCAGTTCATCACCAATTACCAGCACGTCACAGTAGTCCAGGTTGTGCATCACCTCCGTCACACTGAGCCTGTGGGCTGCGCACACACACACAAACACACGCACACACTTATAGACTAACATTACAAAGTGGCCCATCGGGACAGGACTAAGTGTTTTCTCTCCACTCACGTCCACCGAAGGCGTCTCCCCTCATCACAGTGCTGGTGATGCGAAGCTCCTTGAAAGGTGCCACGCCCAGCGGGCCGCGGAGCTCACTGGCAGGTCTGATGAGCTGCTTCAACCCTGTGATGGTGATTCTGGGTTCACTGGGAGGCAGCACCATTACTACTGCCCTGATGTCTGGGATGGAGAGACACGTTTCCTCTCCAAAACACCTAACAGAGGACGAGAGGAGTCGTAGAGGACAGGACCACAGCAGCGTTCCAGACTCACGGCTGACGTATTTGTCCCTCAGTGTGTCAAACATTCATTTTTGTGTCAACAAATATTGTCACGAGATAAAAAGACACGATTAAAAAAATAGATAGTTACTGTCCTGCTTTTCTGTTATAAATCAACCTGACTGAGACTCAGAATAATCAAAGGTTTCCTGACAGGGATACCGGATCTCATTTTAAGGCCAATAGACATAAAAAAATCCCAAATTTTCAGAATTTTTACAGTCTCATAAACTTGGTCCAGGCTTCGAACCTCCACGTGAGAGGGAAATATCTGACTAGAACGTTTATAGGAAGTTCAAGTTGTCCCAGGAGCCTGATCGTGGGTGATTTTAACGTTTTTTGACTTGTTGTTATTAACGGGTGTCTATGAACCAAACACCAACGTCTGACACCTGGAATGTTTTAAACTAAAACGAGAAGAACATCCCCACACAGTGAGCGTCTCTGGACAAACACGTTTGTAAGACTGAGCAAGATTAGTTTGGTATTTGTCGTTTTGAAGAAGCTTCTGCTTGCACAAACTTTAAAGCTGGATCTGCACTTTTGAACAAAAATACTGAATAAAGTGTAAAAAACTAAAGCAAAAAGAAAACCAAAAACGTCTTTTATTGCAGCAAAGTTGTTCGATTCTGGTTTAAAAGATGTCGACTCAATACCAGCGCATTTCAAACTGCTTCAGTGGTGTTCTGGATTTTGTGTTTTCATTAAAGGAGCAGTATGTAAGAATATAGTGAGAATTTCACAGTGAGAAAATCTAAACCGAGTCTAATGTTTCAGTCATTTTGGAAGGAAGGTTATCCTGAAACTTATTTAATATCCAGCTGGCTGTGGGGATTACCAGTTTTTCTCCTTTCAAAACAAAAGAAGGAGGGACGTAACGACTGTTTGCCATCAACGAGTGTGTGGTTGCTGTGTCTCCTGCGAGCTACTGCTGCAGCGCCGACAATTGTAATGATGGCCGGCAAAAAAACTCCAGAGTTGTTTAAAGTGGTTGCACTGGATGTCATTTTTACTTAATTTGAACATAATGCACCTTTAAATAATAAAATACCAGTCTAAAGGTTAGGGCTAGTGCAACCAAATGTTTGAATGGTGCTGTGTGTGATTTAAAGTACTTGAATTTGGAATTTTCAGGAACACTTAGCAGCACACGATAGCCTGCTTTTGTTTTCACATGGTTGTAATTTAATGTGATTGGTGTAAAAACTGTATGCAAGAATAGATGCTGTGAGAATCAAATCTGCAGGTAAAGTAAAAGCAAACACCTTCAGGAAGTGCATCATAAAAAAGTCCACGAGTGCAGCAGGAGAACACAATGTTTTTCTCTTTAATCTGCAGATTTAACGTATCAGCTGAGAGCAGAAGTGGATTCGTTTGTCTTTATCTCGACAGCTGCAGCTGTGTTGTGCAAAGTCAGACATCCTCGATTGTTGCTCACCAAACTCACCTCACTTTATCAAACAACACGACACAAGCATGTTGCAAGAGTGCAGACAAAATACCCCGGAAGACATTTAAACGCAAAAAGCACGACTAAAATAAAAACCCAAAGCAATGTATTCATCATCTGTTAGACACAAAGTCTCAAATAAACTGTTTTTGCTTTTCATATATCCTGAACATACAGATGGTGCGTTTCACAAATGAGCAGTTTTTACAATAATGATGCTTTCTTCATTGTCTCACTTTCCCCACATGCTTCACCTTTTAAATAAACTAGATTCAGTTTTAAATCTGCATATTAACCCTCCACTGATAAAAACAAAAGCACAGCTAAGCCAGGGAATGTGGCTTTGTGAAATATTCTTAATTTTAACTTAAATCAGTCATGTTAGAAAACTAGATGACATCAAACATAATTAAACATAGGTTAACAGCTGCAGCCCATTTTCCAAACACACAAGTGACTTTCTCACTCCTGTTTCATATGTTCCACGGCTGCTACGAGCTACGGCTCAGCGCCAGAAGATTCTAGATGACAAGTCATACACATTAATTTAATTATTATATAAAGACATTTCACTGTAATATTGAGTTGTTTGTATTTCATACATTTGCTTGAGATTTTTTAGCCAGGTATTTATTACTAATTTACTGTTAGCACTGTTAGCTCAACATTAGCATCTAGCCTCCTTTACCCAATATTAGAGTAAACAAAACAATGCTGTGGCTTCTTAGGTGGTACAAGAAATTACTTCAGGGTCACTCCTGTTTACTGCTTTGCTTCTTTAAAAAAACTCAAAGACTGGCAACAACGACTTCCTTCCTCTGTGGCTTTTCTTAAAAGGCCAAAAACAGACAAACCCCCAGCTGGTTGAGAAGGAAATCTGTTTCAATGTAACTTTCCTTCCATCATGAAGGAAACATTAGACTGCTGTATGATTAATTCACTATAAAATTCTGACTTATTTTACCCCTAAGTAGTGTGCACTTACTGTACGGAGGCTGTGATGTGCAACCGTCGGAGGCCCGGTGTTGGGAACTGACGTGAGTTGATGTAGGAGATCTTTGTCATGGCCGTGTTGATGCTGTCCACATCTTCTCCTTCCACCACCAGAACAGACTGGGCTGGGTTGAAATGAAACTACACACACACACACACACACACACACACACACACACACACACACACACACACACACACACGCGCACACACACGCACGCACACGCGCACACACACACACACACACACACACACACACACACACACACACACACACACACACACACACACACACACACACACAATGTGGATTCTTTCTTATTTTGCAGAAAGAACCCTAAAGAAAAGCGTGCTGAGAAATCGTCTGTTCAGACACAATATTAGCCTTCACGGCTTAAATGCCAACGTAATAAGCAGTTGTTCCCACAGGCTGGATTGAGATGACAATAGTAACAGTGCCTTCATATTTTCCCGCACCTTTATGTCCTTTGCCAGGCTTTCAAGGGAGTTAATATCAAGGCCTTCTTTGCAGGCCTGCAGGCAGGAGATAACCTTCTGGGTTTCAATGCGACCCGGTCGGATTGTCAAACCTGAAAGGCTCCCGTGGAAATACTGAGTGAACCTTGGGGTTGCCACTTCAACACCTGGTGGGAAAAAGAGAAGAAGCCATGAATAAAGGTGAGAGAGAAACAAAACAAAGTGGAAGCTAATAAAACTTCCTTTTTTAAAAAACACTGAATGAAATCAAATATGTATTGTTAAGAGCTTTGTGTTTTCCTAGTGAGGTGAAGGATATTGAACAGTTTAATGTGATCAAGAAAGACTGTTTCAATTAATAAACCACAGAACCTGGAAGCTATAGCAAGAAAAAGGGAAACTTTTAAAAGAAAAGTATGAATTACATATTATACAGGCAGCAGGAGGTGACATTACAGCAACATTAATATCAAATTATAGACTATAGTTCATCATATTCAAGCAGATATCCAATCCTTGCTGTTAAAGATAAATGTCCTCTTAGTTTTTCAGCATGAACCAGAATCCTGCTCTTTAATAAAACTCTATTCAATCCACCAACTACTAATTACTATACTTGCACTGTTACACATTATTAACGATATGTGTGTGTGTACATATTCATATATATATATATATATATATATATATATATATATATATATATATATATATATATATATATATATATATATATATACATGTAGAGGGTAAATGTTGATGCTTTTAAGCTTAATATGTTACCTTTACTTATGACCAATAAGCTGTGATACTCTATATAAATATAGAATATCAACCTGCTTGGTCTTTGGATGTTTAATCAGAGGATTCTAGGGTTCTTTGCTTTTTCAGTGATCAACACACTTCGTCTCATTTCAGACAGAGTCAGGGTTATAAAAGATAAGAAATTTATTTTCTAAACAAATAAAAACATGATAACTTAACCAAGGCTACTGTGACGGATGAATCTAAGAGGATGGGGTGTGATGTATGGTGACTATGTGTGAATGTGAGGTTATCAGAACCTTCATATCTAGAAGAACTGAGTTCTGGATGTGAAAAGAATTTGGTTTGCATTAAGCTATGAAGTTGGTTCTTATCAAAAAGGCGTCAGACGCAATCTGTGTGTCTACCTCATCCTTTCTTTGGACACCCTCTTCGCGGATCAGGAGGTCAGAGGACCGCTGGACACCGAGGTTTGGTAGATTAAACGCAGCATCGACTCTCCAGTCCAGAGATGTTTCAGAGTCACAACAGATAGACGGAATTGTTTGCGTCTAGAACAGCTGTTTCTGAATAGCTGAAGGAACCGTTTTGCTGTGTCAGCTGTAGGTAGCTTTTAGCTTGTCGAAAGCTCTGGGTTAAAGAGTGTTCGCTTCGGATGGCTTGTCCGTAGCTTTCTCTAGAACTGACTCACCGTCTAGTGAGCTCTGTTTCAATATTCTCATGTTATGGTTTCTTGGCCAACCAGGACGTGCCATGTTAAGGGGTGTTAACAAGAAAACCTCAGAACATCATACCTTCTTCAGATACAGGATGCTCTGATTTGTAAGAAAATATCTACGTGTCATGGCATTTAACTTAACTTTAATTTATCTCTAATGAACCTTGTGTCTGGGTGTAATGATTCACTTGTCATTTCAAACTTCAGTAATTCAAGCACAGATTAATCAACCTTATTAATTTAAAGGCCCTGTGTATGAAATCTATTGAAATCATGATGAAAAAATGTGACTCTAGCGCTATGCAGTTCAGAGAAAGTATTGCAGCTACGGTAGCTCACTCATGAGTTTGACTGTACATTGGATTTCGACCCTGTGTGGCCTAACCCACACAAAGCTTAAAACAAGCTACGCGACCTTTTCAAAAAAAGCATTTATAAATATGACTGTTTTATCAGCCTACCAATCCTGAAGGAAGCAAGCTAGTTCTGTTATTGAAGCTGTCACGATTCACACACGGAGGAGGTGTGACGTCAGCCGGGAGGTCAGGTGTTGTGAAAAATTGTGTTCCCCTGAAATCTTCTGTCCCCCGTGTCGAGAGATCACACTTCAGGCTATTTTCACAACATTTGTGATCAACTTTTACGGGAAAATTATGTAATATAATGCAATAATGTTATGCTTGTGATTTCTTATCTGTATTTCCTCCTAAAAACAATAAAAAAGATACAGTAAAAACATCCTTGTTCACTCTTTTGCAGCAAGCTTATTTATCATTTTTGAAAATTATGTAAAAGGATGTAATCTCACTCAGTTTAACCACTTTTTAGTCCTCATAATGGACAATAAGTTATGTGGATTTGGAAACATTTGCTCTTGACTGCCTAAGGGAAACAGAATATTTCAGGGGGACATAATTTCCCACAACACCCATTTCACGTGGATCACAGAGCGCACAGCTCGATGTAAACAAACTGGCTGCCGCTACCAGCTTATATGGATATGGAGCAATCACTGGCTGATCATTAAATACGACTGGTGAAGGAGTGTTGGTGAGCCGGGGACATGCTGGACATAAAGTAAAATATGCTGACTTATCCACCAGCTAATCGTGGCTCACGGCTGGTGTGGGGAGATCGGTGTCACGAGCTACCGAGCTACTAGTTAGCCATGGCTAGAGCCAGGGAGATGATGTGTATGCTGCTCATAAACTCCCACGGATTACCAGCAAAAGGAGACCCAAGTCTAAAGAAAACGTTTGAGAAGAAACCCTTTGTGTCGGAGCGACTCAGTAATGCGTGGAGAACTACATCGCTGTTAGTAAAGTGTTGTGGAGATAAAGTAAACAATGCTGATTTAGCCACTGGCTAATGCTGGAGCGTGTTGGGCAAGACGGCATGCTGCAGGAAGAGAGGAGACTTGAGTAGAAGTTGGGACTGGGTCGGGAGTTCTGGTACTGACACTTGGGACCGGATCGGGAGTTCTGGTACTGACACTTGGGACCGGATCGGGAGTTCTGGTACTAGGAAAAGACAGATGAACAACCTGAGGTGAGTTTGGGAGTCAGAGACACTAATCGGAGGCTGGCGTCCAGCTAATATCGGGCGGGGGTCTGAACATATGCGGCTTCCTTGTGTTGGACATGATGACGAACTAACACATTTTTTTTGTATCTTTTGATTTAATTTTTTTATTCAAACTAACAAGTACAACAACAATGTAGCTATTCTTTTCTATTTCTTAGTTGAATTAGCAGACTGTGCTTCCAGGGCACACTGCTGCCCTCCGCTGGTTCTTTCAGGTTACAGTCATAGTCCAAACGGGTAACGTGGAGCTCGTATGTCCCTAAACAGCTACTGTAATTTAAGATGTGGATGACCATGGAGGGTCGACCACAGTTTATGTATATAAAAATGTATAATTTGAAGTTGAGAGGAATATTTAGAATTGATGTTGGTGAGAAATATTAGTGAAAAAGAACAAGTTTGTGAACTGGAAACACAGGATTTAATAGTAAACAGGTAAAAATATCACACACTGTGCATTTAATCACAGATTAATCAAAACATTATTGATCATTTCATATAACATTTGTTCATTCCATTTCACGATTGATTAACTCATATGAGCTGAAAATAGTCACTTTCTTCAGAGACATGAGGAATCCTGTAGAAGTGATAAGGGAAGATTAGGCATTGAAACGGGATCAGTTTGTTGACAATATGTTATCATGTGTTTCGAGCTGCAGAGGCCCGGACTCCAGCTGATGGAATGGCAGGATCCGGCAGATTAAAGGCAACAAATGTAGATTTCTGTCTCCATAGACCAGATATTGAAAAGGTCAAACTGTACATGAAAAAATGACCATTTGTGGATGTTACATATCCCCCCTTTTCAAGGACACAGAGTCCTGGCAGAAACCACGTGTCGTTGAATAATTCCCGAGGCCCTAGGGACTCAGTCGAGGAAGGAAAGGTTAGTTCCCAGGCAGAGGCAACAGGAGTAAGGAAAGGCAAACCCCTACCGGAGAATAGTCAATGGTACTCCCAAACTTGAAGGAATAATTCCACTTGGCGTAATCATTAGGCATTTATATATATATATATATATATATATATATATATATATATATATATATATATATATATATATATATATATATATATATATTGTCATGAACAGAACTCAGAAGACCCGTGAAGACGCCAACACAGTAAAAATATATTAAAAAGTCTTTATTTAATGCAGAGGTACCTGGAGGGCAAGGCTGAGGCAGGTTCAGAGGCAGGCTAAGGTCAAAGTGGCAGGCAGAGAGCAAGGCAGGGGTCAGGCAAAAAACAAGGTCCAGAGGCAAAGATCAGGCAGGGTGGATGGCTGGAGAACTACTGGCAAGGCTGTAATAATCTGGCATCTGTTGACTGGATGGCTGGTTCTTTTATAGCAGGGGAAGCAGGTGAATGGGATGAGGCTGATTACAGGAGCAGGTGGAATGAATGGAGCTGATTGAAGCTGACAGGTTGCTGGGGAAAGCAGGGCTTGGCTGGAGCTTGGTGAGAGGAACCAGGTGAGCTGAATGAAGGTATAATGAGGAAGTGGAGGAGGGTGAAGGATGGGAGTCATGACAGAACCCCCCCCCCCTCAAGGGCGGATACCAGACGCCCACAGGAAACCAGAGCTGTGTGGGAGGAGGGGGACCAGGAAGGAGGGCCAGAGCAGGGCGGGAGGAGGGGGACCAGGAAGGAGGGCCGGAAGGGTCGGGGGGGCCGGCGACGGGGAACCAGGAGCCGAGACAGTGGGAGTCTGGGGGGTCGGCGACGGGGAACCAGGAGCCGAGACCGTGGGAGTCTGGGGGGTCGGCGACGGGGAACCAGGAGCCGGGACCGTGGGAGTCTGGGGGGCCGGCGACGGGGAACCAGGAGCCGGGACCGTGGGAGTCTGGGGGGCCGGCGACGGGGAACCAGGAGCCGGGATCGTGGGAGTGTGGTGACAGAGGACACTGGACCAAGACTAAGATCAAGACTACGAGGGGAAACTGGACCACGACTAAGACTACGAGGGGAGACTGGACCACGACTAAGACTACGAGGGGAAACTGGACCACGACTAAGACTACGAGGGGAAACTGGACCACGACTAAGACTACGAGGGGAAACTGGACCACGACTAATACTACGAGGGGAAACTGG